TATTTATGTATATATGTATATACATGTGGTATGGTTTTGCCTACAATTCATAAAAATCATTAGTTAGGTTTCTCCAACAGCGCCTTCCGTTCGACTTTTGTGCGAATATGACCAATTGCTTACGGGTGATGTACATACATATAAACATATATACATACATATATAAAACACTTTATTTATGCATGTATATTACTCTTGTTTGTATATTTGGCGTGTTTGTATGTATCTGTGTGCGTTTGCCTATAAAGCTAACTACTTTAATTAAGACTTAATTACTTCCACATTGCGTCGTTCTCAGCTGAACTCAACTCAACTGCGAACTGACCGTTCCGTCCGTTAGGTACGCGATTGTGTGGCATAATAAAAAACAAACTTACATACATACATATGTAAATACATGCAATAATAATTATTCAACAGCAAGACCAGACTCAGCCTCATTCAATACTTGTTCATGTAAAAACAAAAATCTAAACGAAACTTACATACATATGTATGTGTAAATATGTTTCAATACAAATGCTCTTATTCATTTATTAAGCAAAGAATTAAAAAGAAAATAATTACTAAGTCGGTTATGTATTTAAAATCAGCAATTTTATAGAAAATTAAAACCATATATATACATATATATATATATATACTATTAAATTTCCAGCATATATATATATATATACATACATATATATATATATAAATAAATACTAAAAGCACTGAGTGTTCATATGATATTATATGTATATTTATAAAAAACATTGCATATACATAAGTTTACAATATATACAATTTTTATATATATATATGTTTTTAAATTTTATCTCAATAGGTAAAAGAAAGAAATAATTATTTTCCAGCAACCGGTATGGTATTTCAATGAATACTTAAATGCATATATATATACATACATATATATATGCACCGCTACAATTTTGCACGCGATCACGATTTGGAAATAACATTTTTGATTTGTGTAGAAAATAATCCTATGCATTAAGAGCAATCGCTTTTGTGGTTTCAAAAGTACAGGGTGAAATTAAAAAATATAAACATTAATAAAATGGATCGTTTGCAGATATGGTAAGACCATCATTTTGCTCGCTCTCCGGAGCGGGTTCCATTACATCCTAAAAAATGTTGAGTCTAGTGCACACTCTGAGGCGATTTTCGGCCGAGCTCCTTTTCCAATTTCTGGGTTTGCTTCTTGCTGTTTCTTTTTAAATGAATAGAGGGAGCTACAGTTTATACTAAGCCGCCTCCGAACGGCTGATGGTTTTTATGAGGAGCTTATTTTATGTCAGAAATAAATGGGGAGAGCTTGATATTCCCTGCCCAGGGGCTACCGTAATTAGAAAATTTAACTTAATTTTTTATATTTAAATAAATCTTCCAGAACTCCAAGATGTCGTCAATGTCAATGCGTTGCGTTATATTGTAGAAGCAATTGGAGAGCACTACTTGGAAAATATGTGTTTTCAATAAGTGGCAACCACCTGCTATGCAACCCGAACGAAATTGACTTCATTGCGAGAGAAATTCTCGGCCACAGATATCGGGTGATATAGCACCATTGAACTTTTTTTTGGATATGGGCGACGCCAATGTTCGTCTTCGTGCGGATAAATATTCATCTGTTGAGCACTCGAAAGCCAACATTTTAATGCCAAGGTTCTAACTATTATTATATTTTTAATCCATGTTATTAAAGTTTATTTTTGAAACCGCAATGGACACCCTGTTTATATACACATAATAAATATTTTAATTTTTACTAATTAGTCTGCTATGTCCAGACTTTACATGCTGTGTGATTCAGTTGAAATACTTTATGATATTATTATTATATTGATTTGGCTTATTGTTTGTGTTTGGCACTATTTACAGTCTTTTTATGTCAAGAAACATACACCAATTCTACCAAATTTTCTACAAATTAAAGTGTTTGAAAATGAATTTCTTTTTTGTACTTGAATAGAAAACAAATTCGGCGTTCATTTTATGTTGTGTACTTATTTTTTGTTTTTCTTAAAAACCCCCTTTTAAATTTCATTCCTAGTAGTTAGAAAAAATTAAACACTTGAGGGAAGAATTTTTTATACTTTTCATTTGCGACGCTTATAATATAATTTTTTTTTGTTAATTGACATTAACTCAAATAGAGTAAATTTTGTTGATCACAGTTGGTTGCCTTCTATTTTAGTGAGTCTCTTTCTTATTTCTTGCTAAGAACAAAATTTTCATGGTTTTAAAAGAATAAGCTTCAAATAAAAATTGAGCAAAAATTTATGAAAAATGGCAAAGTGGCAATCGTTAAAGCTAACTAAAGTTACTTTAGTCAATATTTTCCATCGCAATCATATAAAGAATTAAATAAAGTCGCGAAAAGCGTTTTTGGTCGAAAAATGGATGTAACTTTGTACTTTTTCTTTAAATCAACTTGATGTAACCGTAATTTATTTGATACCTGAGTAAAAAACATAATCACTGTTCCTTTTATGCTGAATAAAAATTATACACATATATTTTTCTTTTACTGAAACAAGCTTTTTTAAGGTTTAAAATTTATGGTTAAAAAAAAATTTCGGAAAATAGTCGTTTCAAAACTTTTTTGTGCAGCACCAACATTATCTATTACTCAAAATTGACATTAGCTCTATAAAAATATATTTATTTTTTTCTTATATTTTTAGTGTGCCTTTTGACGAAATATACTTTTATTTATGTTTGAGAAAAAATTATTTAATATTCAAATATAAATCGAGTTAAAATATAGGAAAAATGGCAACGCTGCAATCGGTAGAGCAAGCTAACGTAAATGTTGCGCATATTTTCTCTCGTATTTATTTGAAGAATTTAGTCGGAAATATTTTTTGTAAAAGAAAACTATAAATGCCTATAATTTTTTAGTATTTATTAACCATTTGTTATTATTTTACTTTTAAAAGAGCAAAGAGAATAACAACGGTTCTCTTCAATTTGCTATTCTCCCCATTAGCGTTACTATTATTCGGTTAACAACACTCTGCTTAGAATTGAAACAGATAATTTTAATTTAATTGAAATTCCGAGAATTTCTTTTTTATGGATATTTTATTTGCAAGTGCCACGTGTTATGTTATTTTATATACATAATAAGTTTATACATTTTGCTTTTTAGTCAGAATTAGCTACGAAATAGTCGGCTAAGTTAAGTTACAAATATTTCAATTCTCTTTTGTATTTTTCTCTATGATTTTTTTCTGCCTACATTTCAAACTAAACTGCTTTCCATTTAAAAATAAAAGTTCACAGCTGCCGCACATTTTTCCCATTTTTTTTATTTACTAGTTATAAACTTTACACTCGGTGTCAAAAAACTTATAAAATTTAATATTTAAATATAAAAGTTCAGCATATGTGGGCGTTGAATTGCCATAAACGTTAGTAGTTTTAATCAAATATGGAATTTTTTCATTCCTCGTTATACTACATTTTGAGATGAGTTAAATGCGTTTCAGCTGGTAAGAGACGATTATACAATAGTAATAAGTAAAGCGGATTTAATATACACAGAGATGTTAACGAAAAAATTTCATATGAGTTAAAAGATGTTTTTTTTTTGTAAAAAAAAATAAATTAGCAAAAATTGCTGAAATGTAGCACTAATAGCAACTTATATATTAGCAACCCTGTAATGCTTTTCAAATAACTGAAAACGAAAATATTTTTTGAGTCTTTTTTTAACTGCTGAATTAAACACACAAATACTTATTGTACTTTTTTTTGTAACCCGAAAAATATTAAGAATTCAACAAAAATTATTATTATTTGAGGAATATATGTATATAGATGCAGTTAAAATATTTAAATTTATAGTTAAATAAAAAAATTATATTCTAATGTAAAAAAATGTATTTAACATTTGGAACGAAAAAAAAAATTAAGAAAATAAATTAATGAACATTAGGTACTAACAAACCGATGTAGTTTTTAGTTTCGAACTACACTTTTTCTTGTCAAATTTTTTTGGAATCAGGTATTAGGTAGACAAAATATTAAAAATTATTGTTATTAAATAAAAAAATTATTTTTTATTAAAAAAAAATTTTGACTCTACTTTGGAACTAAAAGAAAAAAATATGTTGATGCAAAATAAATAAAAAATAAATAAATAAAAAATAAATACTAAATAATTACAGTTATGAATTTTGTTCCCGAAAAAATCTAAATTTTCTTTGTTGCGAGATATACTAGATTTCTTTTTGCAATATACATATATATTAAATAATAATTAAATAATTTGGAAAATAAAAGTACACTAAAGCTTATGTACGTGGTTGTTAGCTTCACACAAAATTACTAAACTCCATGCCTAATTACTGACTAATTATGATTTACATTTGCATTTTCACTAATTATGCCTCTAACACTTTGCTGAACATACATACATATTCTACGCGCTTGACCGTAAACTAAAAGCAGGCTAATCAATTGGCGCACATTTTCTGCAACGCACACACACACACATACACACACAAACCACAACTCATAAGCGTGCATGGCGCACAACGTTAAGTTGGCTGCTATTCAAGCTAAGCTTGAAACCAATTTACCGTTAGATGCTAGTAAGCGGTACAGCAAACAAAAAAAAAAACGTTTGATTTGATGTGTAGCGGAGCAAAAATCGCAAGAAATGAATTAAAAATTAAATAATAATTTTTTTCGAAGCGAAACGAATGTAGCATAAAGCACAGCACTCCTTTTGCGGTCGAATTAAGTTGCAGACAAGATTTGAATGGTATACGTGTAGGTATATGTATGGTAGAAATAAAATCTGCACTTAAAACACAGTTTTTTTTTTTTAACAGCACAAATTTATGTTGGCTCAAAAATTTTAATTTTTTTTTTTATGATTATTAGCGCTATTTTGCTAATATATAAATATTTTTTATGAAACTTATTTTATTTTCTATTTAATTGCGCACTTAAAATATTTTACAACACAAAAGAATATTTATATTTACTCTTAACTTGGCTGGAACACATTCAAATGTGAAAAGTACATTTATAACATTTTTTCCGTTCTAATTTTTTTCTGATTTTTTTTTTTTTTTTGTAAAACACCAAGGATTCTTTATTAATTACAGGTTAGTAGTGTAAACATTAAACACAGCAAATACTTTTTCTTATGAATTGTTTTGTTTTTCAAACATTTATTTTAATCTCCTGTATATATAAATATAATTTTTTTGTTTGTTTGCTGATTTTCAAAACTTTCACACACTTTTTTAGAGGTTTACACAATGATTTTTTTTTTATTTGAAACTTTTGCTTTCTCACTTTGTTTAAATTTACATCTATTTCTTCAATTATTTTTCACACTCTTGAAGTTCTAGTGCTTTTTAAAAATTATACATTTATTGCTTCAGCACAACAATTGTGAAATTAATACTTTTTTTTATCAACAATTCCTTTTTTTTATTTATTTTATTTAACTACTTCTACGGCGCTCTGCCTTCGTTCTGTTCACATGCATTTATTCAAAACAGTTAAAAACTTTACCAGCAATAAAGCATAAATACAGTGAGAATATGTTTTGAATTTTCTTCCGCACGTTGAGCTGAATAACTTCGTATCTGACACTAGACTGACGGCTCGTATAACTGCGACGGATAAAGTATCTACGATGCGCTGTTGACAACGAGTGCGAGTGCAAGACTTCTACATACAATGCGAATCGCCTCATTCATACGAGTACACGTCTACATATTAACGTGTCTGTATGTAAGTACGTACATGCATACATATACATATTGTACATATGAATGTATTAACATTGCCGGGTATACTTCATCGCATTCGTTCGCGCATTCGTTTGCTCCATCGTCAACACTTTACAGTGATTCGCTTGGGCTCGCTCCCTCGTATCTTTGCATTACACGATTCGGCATTGCATGAGTAATATTTGCATGTATGTGTGTATAGGTGAATTGTTTCTATGTATGTATGTTTATTTAGTACATTGTTGGCAGACAAAATTTGGCGCTCAGCTGTTTGGTTAACAACAAAAATTCGTAACTCTTGGTTGCCGACAATATTTCTGTATTTATGTACTACAAATGTATATTTCTACTACTTTTTTTTGGTAAAAAGTAGTAAAATTAAATATTAATTCCATTGTACTATATATATTTTAATCCAATGGTGAACATCTATTGTGACCAAGTGGCAGAGGGAGTGTTGGAATAACAGTGCCAAAATAAATAACAAAAATATAATAAAAAGTAATAAAAATAAATAGAAATTAAATAAGAAGTTCCAAAAATATTATCATTAAAATATGTAATATCCTTTATCAGTGATATTTTGAAACAAATTCTGTTGGAAAATCACTTGCCGGAGCACTAAAAAAGCTTGCTGCTCAGTCAAAAAACGAAAATCGAAAATCTCATTAAAGCTATTCATATGGAATTCCTGATATGTTATTGGAAATTAATGTCTACTTCGTATTTTTTATAATTCTATGTTCAAGTAACATCCTCCTAGGCCTTCCACAGCATCGGCAACTCACCGTTAAACGCTCACTTGCTGCTTAATAACTTTTATCATCGCATTTGTTGTGGTTTTCACATTCGGTAGATAAATATTAAAGAGCGCTATTTGATTTACGTTCCACATAATATCTACACTCTCTCTAACTCCCTAACTCTCGCGCTCTCTCCCTTTCTCTCTCTCTCTCACTCTGTCTCTCTTGATGTGGTCGATTGGTAGGCTGGTGGTTGGTTGACTTCTCGTTGTTGATGCGAGCAAGTGTCTGCCTCCAACTGACTTGTGTAGCTGTGATAATGCAAAACAAAACTTTGTATGTATGTATGAATATGGCTGCAACTACCCAACGAGCGTACCAGCCGTCCATAGTAACCTATCTTATGAGAGCGCCATGTAAACACAAAGTTGTCACCGATTTACCATAGCGTTGCTGACGTTTGTGTCGCAGAAACCAACGAAGTTTTGATTTTTCCGTAAAACCGGCTCGGCTCATTTTTCGTTGCTATACAAGGTTGCCAGTATAGCCTTTCTTAAAGTAACATTAAATAATCGAAGATAATGCGTAGTTTTGTTCAAAAGAAATGAAAACTAAATGCGTAACTAATTATTTGTTACTATATAGATCATGTATATTTGCCTTGTGTTTATGTTAAAGCAAATAAATTATGAAATTCGTTGACGAAAATTATGAATTTGTTCAAAAGTGTGCAAACACACAGGCAGCTGGCAACATTTCGCCGATCTCAGCAGCGTCAATAGCTCGTGTATGTATTTCACTACTAACGTCGTCAGTTATGGACGGCTGGAGAGTGAGTTGGGTAGTTGCAGCCTTAGTCTTTGAATGCGTCAACTTGCATGTGCAAATATGCACAATTTGTTTATCTACACAAATACATGTACAATCGTTAGCTTGTATCTATGTGTGGTAATTATCTTATATCGCAGGTGGGCAGCTGATGGATTTTTCTTGTCATATTTTATTTAATAGGTGTATATGTACATACATAGGTATATATAATGCTTAAATGTGTACATAAAGCTTTGTATGTGATAATTCATTTTAAATAAACTGAATTTGTGCTGAAATTAAGGGCGACTTTTCTTTATTGAGCGGTTTTGTTAATAAAATAAATAACTAAAATAATATAACGGTACAGTTTTAACTCGTTAAGACCCTTCAATTTATAACTGGGGTTATTCGAAAATTTTATTTTTCGTTTTCCAGTTTGCATTTATTTCATGAAGATCTCCCAAGAAAAAGCACGTTTCACCACTTCGTCTTTTTCTCTAGCAGTATAGGCCTCAGAGTCGCCGTTCAGTGGCAAATTGGAGAAATCGAGTCCAGCCAAGCTCTTCTGCACCTGATCGTTTCCAAACGAGTGGTGCTTCCCCATATTCCCTGGGCATTGCATCGAATACTTTCAAAGTTGCAGAGTGGATATAGCTACTTTTGTAGCGTGAATACTGCTTTAAAATCAAGGGTGGGGCGTGCTATGCTTTGACTCGGAGGTATTTTCTAAGGTTTGGTAGATTTACCTGGTCTGTGAGAGTCCATCAGTTGACTAAGGCCTTTAGAATACAGGATTTTTAAGAAAAGAAGTTTTATTTTGACATATAAATCAACTCTTTCTTTAAATGGTCGATAATTTTGTCGCTTTTGTTGCACGTGGCTCAGTCTTGTTGAAAGTTAACGTTGTCCAGATCATTACCATCCAATTCCGACCATAAAAAATCATTAATCATCTTTTGGCAGGGCAATCCATTCACCGTAACTAAGTAAGGTCCAATCAACCCGCCCGACCATAATGAGATTTCCGAGACCCAGATGCGACAGTTTTGGTGATTGACGTAGTCATCCAGGTGGAAATTGCCCCACTAGCAAAGACCCAAAGTTGTTGGTGATCGGCTGGCTTAAATTCTTGTGTTAACTGAAATTTAGATGTCTTCCGACCCAAGTCTTTATGCAAAATACGATTTAATGGCGACTGTGGAATGCTCAATTCAAAAGAACTACGAGAAATGAACAAGCCTGGGGTTTCTTCAACACAATAACACCTCTCATTGGAAAACCCTGTAGATGACTTACTTACCGATTGGAGAAGGAATTCGTCCGAAAATCGCTTCAGCGGTTACAACGATCGGGCAGAGCACGTTTAGACGATTAGAGTCCGGCGCGCTTTCGTGCAACCAAATTCAGCAATCAACGATAAAACATCAATCCCCGCCAGTTTTGTTTATTTGCTTAATAATGCCATCCTACAGTTCCCTATTTTTTACTAAAGACTAAATTCGAGAATAAAATAACGTGTCTCATCATCAAAAATAAAAAAAAAAAAATAAAAAAAATATTTGTAAGATCTAATTGTTAATAGTAATATCCTTATAAGCTCATTATCCTTACTTTATTTCAGTTCATAATATGTAGCTCGTTATTAGCTAAACTCATTTTCTTATGGACCTAGAATCTGGGAAAACTAAAGCAAATGTACAAAAAATATGTTTTTAGACCAATTAAAGAAGCATTTTCCATCGAATAGGCAGGTGATTTATCTTTGAACTATTTCACTTTAAGATTTTTGTGCATTTCTTTTTGATCTTCTTTAGCTGTCCTTAAATGTAAACTAAAGTCCGCTTACAAGCGTTGAGGGATTTTCACCAAGCTACTTGAAGCTGTACACATATCTACAGCCGCACATGTATACACATAAACTACAGTAAGCACTTACTTGCCCAAAGCACTAAATTAAAACATCACAGTAAAAACGAAAAGAAAATATACTTCCGAAAAACCCGCACACAGGCACATAAAATGTGAAAAATGCGCACACATGCCGTGATATTCCCCTACACACACGCATATCCTTGGCAATGTACATATGTAAAAGTGTTTAGAAAAAATAATATACGACAACAATGAAAGTGACTGGCTTTCAATTGCTAACTAGGGAATGTATAGCAATAACTCATGGGGGAACCAAGAATTTAACAACTTTCTGTTATAAAAAAAAATTAAAATAAATTGGAAAAAAAAAAACAAATAACAAAATGAAAAAAGATAAAATAAATCTGAGTAAGCTATAATCAAATTATTTGAAATAAAATAAAAAATGTGCAATAAAAAATTAAATATATTAAACTAAATAATAAAAAAAATGAAAAATAATAAATAAAATAATATAAATCACTCGAAGAGGTTGTAATTTCTTTCCGAGTGGCGACCGCAATTTATTTTAATTAAATTGATTTTCTATAACTTTTTGGATGTAGTTACGACACCAGTATTTGTGCCCGAGCCTTCCGAAAGGCAATACGCAATGCTAACCACTCGGATACCACGGCTGCCAATAAAATAATATAATAAAATAAAAGAGAATAAAGAAATACAATACAATAAAACAGTAAAATATAATAAACAAAATTAAAAAACATAGTTTTAAGCAGTAAAATAAAATAAAATAAAATGAAAAAATTACCTGGGAATGGCCAGAAACGACTCCTTTGCATATGGCTCAAGCAGCTCACGACTTTCGGCCTTAAACCAAGTACCCCTCGTGTGGACAACTAACATACGCTTGGAGGCGAGCTAAAGTGAGAAGGCGAATCGCATGCGGTTATGGGTAGAGCTTGGAACCCACCACATGAAATTCCTGATAATATTGACATTATCGGCCTCAGCAACCTAGCCGCTAGATCTGCTTTCCACAGGCTTGATAAAGAAACGAAGCAAATGGGTCTGGTAGTAAACGAGAACAAGACGAAACTACTTTGGACTGAGTAGGCAATTGAATAGTAAAGTCCTCTCTCCGCGAACGAAAACCAAACTTTACAAGCCGTCCCTTTTTACCCGTCCTACTATATGACGCAGAGGCTTGGAAGATGTCAACAGTTGATGAATCAGCTTTGGGAGTCTTCGAGAGAAAATCTTTGAGAACGATTTATGGTCCTTTGCGCATTGACTACGGCGAATACCGCAGACGATTGAACGATGAGCTGTACGAGTTATAAGGTGACGTTGACATAGTTCAGCGAATGAAGAGACAGCGACTCCGCTTCTCGCCGGTGGAAGCAGATCTGTTGAAGGGATCAGGTGGAGAGGGACTTGGCCTCACCAGCGCAAAAAAGGGAATGAAGGTCAACGCCAATAAGAGTAAGAAGAACATGAACATAAGCAAAAATGAAATAAATAAAATCTAAATAAAACAGAATAAAATAAAATAAATACGCTTCAAATAAAATAATGCAAAGTAAAACAAAATGAATAAAAATAACATGAAAAAAAAATTCAAAAATTTAATCTAAATTCTCAGCTTTTATTTC